TGTTAAAACGAAAAAAAAAAGAAAAAAAAAAACAGAGGAAGAAACCATAAAGGAAAACAACGATTAAGAAAACAGAGTGGGAGATGTAGGTCTCTGCTACTTCCAGGCATTGTGAGAAGAACGGATGAGGGGGGCGGTTGAGGAAAAGTGAGAACATTACTAAACGGGTTCACCAATGGCCGGAAGCCGTTGAGTCTACGCCGTTGGCAGAACCGGGCAACACTCTCTGTGACTTCCTGCATCTGAGCCCATCTGCGAGTGCCCTTTGGCGGCCAACTGGTCTTGTTTGTGATAAAATGAAGAGATTATGTTATTTAAAATCAAAATGAAGAGGCTGTGCCACCTGTCTGTATTTTACGTGTGAGGCTTCCCGCCATTCTGCGGTTTCCTGGTTTGCCTGGAAAGAACTTTTATCCATCTGATAACATGTGGACTGAGGCCGTGCTGTGACTTCAAAAGTCCAAGTCAGTGCCAAAAGGTTGACAATAACACAGATCTGGGTAAACCGCCTCTTCCTGGTTGGACATATAAGGGCAAGCAGCAGAGGAGCAAGAGGAAGAAGGGCGATCCCAGGGTAAGCCATTGTTGTTTGTCTTTTCTTTGATGGAAATGGCTCGACTTAGAGAGAGAATGTATGAATAAATGATGCCATTGAAAGAGGTTACTGTGGTAACACACCACCCAACAGTTCACGCTGGGTGGTGTGGGAAGAGGAAGAGGAGGAGGAAGAAGAAGGGGAAATGGGGTGGGAGTAGTAGTGGGTAAGAGACAGTTGACCCAAATCTGATCATGCGCAAAATTATAAAGCCTCACTTGACCTTCATGCAAAATTCAGTGTGTGAGGTGGGGGCAGAAAGTAAATTAGGACCAACTTTTCTATGTCGCAACTGTTTCCACATTGTGATTTATTTGTACGATTATGGATTATGGGAGTCTTCTTCCCATAATCCCTGAATATAAAACCCAAAGGGGGATTCAATGAAGATGTTTCAGCCACAAAATGAGCCATGTGGAAAACTAAGTACACCCTAGCTGCTTCTGCAGAATTTAGGGGGGAGAGCATAAACCACACACCGCTTATCAAAGGCACTTTAATCATCAACAGATGTGACCAGTTCGATCCAGCAAATCCAGACTGTGCAATTCTCTAAAATAATCGTTAAAAACTCAGTGTCAGACTCTGCAGGTCTCAGCAAATCAAATGCATAAATTTGACTGCAAGACAAGACGGACACGTTTTTGGAAGAATCACGAGGAGGATGATCTATGAAAAATATGGCGGCACAACTTGGGTTTGCAGAGTTGCACCTTAATGAACCCCATAACTTTTGGAGCAATGTGTTTTGGAAAGATGACAACAAATGGCAACTATAGTGCATAGCACCATGTTTAGAGAAAACAGAGCCATATTATCAGCCCAAACACCTCAAACTTTAAACACGGTGGTGAAGTGATGATGTTTTTGCAGCCACAGGACCCAAACACCTTTATTTAAAAAAAAAGAAAAAGAAAATATAAATAAAACATTTCTGACGTAACCTGATCATCAACAAGTCATAACAAAGGAAACATGCTTATGTTAGTCTATCACTACAGCAAATTGCTCTTTGTTTAAATTGTGTTTCATTGAGCTGGTTGAATTGTTGATGTAAGCAGGTTTGGGCAAATACTAAAAATAACACCTATAGTGTAATCTGATTTCTCAAACCACTCAGTGTAAAAGTGTAGGGAGATGAAAACCATTTATATGCACTGAAAGATATAGGAGATGTTATATTCTACAATCTATCAGTACTTAATACTAACGCTGGCCATGTACAAATCATGTCCTTCCGAACAGTATTCAGAAGTTGTTTGAAATTAGAGAAACAAATAATGAGCTCAGAAGTAAATGCATGTCTGAAAAAGTAAAGTAATTTTGCTCTATATCACCATATTAAATTCTCTCAGATTGCCTAGTGTCTACCTTTTATACTGTTCTAACCTATCCGATGTAACATAGTGTTATATTATGTTAATGTATCAAGCTGCATTCCAAATTATAATAATATTGTAAGCTACTTTGTGATGTTGCATTAAGTCAAATCATATCATGTCATTTTGGATAATTGTTGTTTCATGTTGTAATTTAATCTATTCTGTCATACACTTTCATAGTTAATGTATGATATCACATCATATCCTATTGTAACCTAATGTATAATTTTGCATTCTGTCTTAAATCACTTCATAAATTTGTCTATCATGTTTTATCATATGTCGTTAGTCTAATAGCATAATTGCTCAAGTCCTAATTTTTAAAATGAGACTTAGACAATTATGCTATAAGGCTAACGATATTACATTTTAACCTATAATGCGTAGTATTGCATTCTGTCATATATCTTATAACTTTAAGTATTATGTCATATTCTGTCGCATATCTTATCACATTGTAACGTCGTGTAAAATGCAGTATGATAACGTATCGTCTAACTGTGTGCTTTTATTTTGAAACGCCGCTGTCGTCAGCTACGTCACTCAGTGGAACGCAGTCAGTAGCTGCCGCTGCTGCTGCCTCTGCTAAAGGCCTTCGGATTCCTGACAAAGTAGGTTAACAACGCTTCAGCGAACACTGAGGATATTCCGGATAACTTTTACTAACCTGTGGAGGTTTAAATTGAGATGTAGGCCGCGTTTGTGTGGCAGGTTTCGGGGCGGTGGGTGTCGGTTGCCGCATTGTTTCCTCTTCGGTCGTGTTGAAAGTTAGCCCGGGGGCAAGGCACAAGCTCCGCTCGACTTCATAACACGGTGGGAAACTAGTCAACGGAGCTGTTATTAAAGTTAATTATCGCTGCTTTTCCTTCACTGTGGGTTAAATGATGTCATCGGCGGTGAGTTTTTCAGTAATGAGAGGCATGTAAAGATTCAGGATGGGATTTAAAGTGAAGGTTGTTCAGTTTTTGCTAAAGTCAGACCGTTAATTCAGTTTGGATAGAAAGTGCTCCCCGTCACTGCTAATGTTTGCTAATGTTTTCCTCTGGCTTGGTTTATCGATTTGATTTTGTTCTGTTTGTGTAGATGAGGCCAAGAGAAAGAGGAATGTAGAGTTGCGATAAAAAGGTAGGAAAAGCTTTGCTTTTATATATCAAAAACAATCCCACATAAAATTCCATTTGTTTTGTTTATGATATATTTTTTTACACTTGTTAATTTTTTGTGTAAGTTTAATGTTGGTCTGGTTTTTATAAGCACATAAAAATATAAAATCTAATCTAAACTAAGTGTTTGCTTTCAAATTAAAAGAGCCATTTTATTATAGAAACATTAAAAAGTTTAATAAAACAAAAAAAATTGCAATATATATTTGAGACTTTAACAATTTGGACCATATTTATCTTATATATTATGTTTTTTACTTTTCTCATGCTGCTTAAGCAGCAACAATAGATCAGATTTTTATTTTTTTATTTTTTTAAATATACTGGTTATTGTTTTTGTTGCTTGTCTAACTTTTTCTTTTGACCTCTAGTCCCAACCAAAATAAAATCTGAATGCGTAAGCTCTGCAATGCCGGTCGCATATAAACAACAACTGGCTGTGAGGCGCCGGGGATGAAATTGCAGGGATTAATTTTTCTCGGATTTGGGCGTCTGCGCTCGTTCAGATTCAGACAGGCAGTAAATAATAATAATAATAAAAAAAAAAAAAGTGGGTTTGGTGGAACCCCCTCCTTCCACACAGTTTGATGAATGCTGACCCTGCAGGGTTTAAATGCCGACACAACAGCCACGCAGACAGGAAGTCTAAAGCAACAAAGAAAGTACATTTTGTTATTTGGAGCTATCATTTTAATCCTCTTAGCCACATGGTTGGTGACGCGATCCACATGCAATCAGTGTGAGTGGGTTGTTGTCTCCACGCCGACTTTGCGTCAGTTTAATTTCGCTTGTGTTTGAATCTGGATCAATTAGATAGTTTTACAGACCACAAAATAATTCATTAGTTTCTTGTTTAGATGCGATTTTTCTCAGGGGTTTTCACTTCAACCTCTAAACTAGGAGTCTATAATTACATTTCTATCCATCTTTTTGTTCCTCTTTCCACTTCTCCACCTCTGTCTCCATCCTTCTGCCCATTTTTCTATCTGTTCACCCTTCTATTTGGCTCTGCATGTGCTCTTTTTTTTCCATCTTTCTGTCTGTTGGGATAAACTGCGTTAATTTAAACCTGGAAAAGTGTATAATTTTGACCTGAATCTCTGTAGAAACTTCAATCTGAGCATCAGCGTACTTACACGGACATAGACAGGTGGCGCTATACATGTGCGACTGTGGACCAGTAACCCATCAGAACCAAGGAAGCTGAGAACTGAGATAAACGTCTCTTTGACTTTCCTCAAAGCAAGCGGTTAAACTCTGCAGGCATGGAAACACGGGACGAGTGTTTCTTTCACACTGTTTGGGCCTCAACAAGAGCTGCTCACAGTAGACGCCTCTGTTCCCCACTCATTTTACTTTAGTTTATATATAAACTGGGATTAAAAGAACTCACGATCAGTAAAGTTTGTTGTCCCTCAAGTCTGATTTGATGGATTCTGCCCGATGACGTTTTATCGCCACGCTGCGTGCTCGTTGTTTCTGAATTGGGCGTCTTCTTACATAATCGTCGTATCCTGAAAGCCCTCGGGTGCAGCTCGGCTGTCGTTTTTCGGCGTCGGTGTTTATTCCACATGACGCATTGTTCAGAGCCAGGTGTTCGCACAGACACAGATAAATATCATTATGGAGCGTTTCCTGTCTCGATTTGTCTCGACTTCAGTTGGAAACGCGCGACACTTGTGTGTAAACACCCAAACACAATAAGTATTGTGGATTAACACCTGCCGGCGTTCCTGTGCGTTTGTATGATTTTTTTTGTTTGTTTGTGGCTCGAGGTGCACACAAAAGCATTAAACTCGTTCCTCTTTTCCTCCTCTTCTTTTCGAAATCCATTGTTCAGCCTGCGAGCCTCCTGTTACCATAGGAAACAAACCCTGGAGCATCCTGCGGTTTCCATTGGTTACCAGTTACATAAACGCATACAGAAACCAGAGCAGTTTAAAAAAAATAAAATAAATAAATAAAAATTAAAGCGAGAAAAATGAAACGTGTGGTCTTTCAGATCCCAGGTTCCTGCCATGTCCGGTCCCACCTGGCTGCCGCCGAGGACTCTGGACAGCCCAGAGCGATCCGTCCCCCAGATGTCCCACTCTGCAGGACCACCCATCTACCAAACCGTCAACAAGAAGGGCGTGGCCGACTTCAGGCCCAAATACGCTCCCTATGACCAGAACGGAGGAGCGGGGATGACCAGCAGGTACATGGCGACTGGACCCACAGGTGAGAACGATGCAGTTTACAAAATAACGAGAGATTTCTGATGCACCGAAAACAGAGAACAGTATAAGCATTTCAGCCCTTTGCCTCCTGTCCTGAAGGTTGAGTTTATTCATCCACCCTCTGTCGTAGTTCATGCAGATTCTATATTGAAAGTCTTTCTTCTGAAAAACTCAATCTGTAAAATTGCTGTGAAGTTTTCCTTGAAATCTTCCACATTTTCTCCCAAATCATGTGACAAACCAACATAAATGTAACTGTGAAGTTAAAGGAAAATTACGCTTTTAAACATTTCATGCCAAAAGAAATGCTGTGTGTTTGTATTCAAACCTCCCAAACGTTTCTCTGCCGTTACGGCTGCAGAGTTCGACCCGACCGGTTTTTCAGGTCTGCAGATTTAAATGTTTGCCCGTTCTTCTTCGGAAAACGGTTCAAGGACGGAGAGCGTCTGTCGACACTGGTTTTCAAGCCTCGTTATAGATTCCCAGTTTGACTTAGACTTTGACTAGACCGTTCTGTCTAAGAGTTTTCTAAGAAACGCCTAGACGTCCTCCTGGCAGCGATGTGACTAACGCCGACTTTGCTTAGTAATCATTGGGAGTGACGACAAAGAGGAAGTTTTTAATAAAAAATGTCATTGGGGCCGATGAGTAAAGGAAACTGCTCTCGGGGAATTCTTTATCTCCTGTAAATGTTTTCACTGTTGAACAATAAAAATCCATTCTCTGCGTTAAACCGGTGGACGTTTTATTTTGAGTCACAGTTCCTTTTTCCTTTGTGTAGAAATCGCTTTCTGGGAAAAAAAAAAAAAAAAACCGCCGCGGAGGACGAGGCTTCAGTTATTTTAGTTTTCACAGCTCTGCTTCTCAAAACTAAATTACTCATTCGTATCTCAATGTTTCTCAAGAAAAACTGAATATAAGCTGTCATTGATGCCTTTTTTTCTTCTTTAGCATAGCTCTGAAACGCATTTTTCAGCGGAAAGAGCTCATTCAAGCAGAAATTAAGTGTCAGTGAGAGTATATAGACCTGATTACATCAGTTTTACTGTTGCGCTGTCTCCAGGTGGGCCCGTTCACCACTCCACTGATCACTACTACTCCCCCCCTCTCGGCCCCAAAGACGACCGAGGCTGGAGCGCTCACATGGACGGCTACGACATGATGGTGGGTGTGAAGTTTCTGCTCGACAGCTTTGGGTGTCGTCACATTTGTTTGACCCCTGGTGAAGAAAAAAACATCTAGCCTTCAATTTTGGTTTAATTTTTGTGTCTATTTCTCCTCCAAAGACACTGAAAGCCTTGTTAGGATGCATGGCAATGGTGATTTCTTCAAAATGCCAAAATGTTTTAAATGAGAAAACTGAATAAATGCTCTGAACTCTGCCAGAAATCTGAATATCGATTGGTTTTTCAGAAAAAAAAAATTGCCCAAAATTAACAAACAATGCCCATATCAGTCTTTAGACATAAATCATTAATAAAACCTGTTGGTTTTGTTGCACGGTTCCATTAACTTTCACACAAATTCATTCATCAAAAATAGTAATTAATTTTTTTTTCCCTATTCTGGTTATGTACTCCAATTACATTTTTTCCCCTTTTTCAGTTTGAGATTATGATACGGAAGTAAAATATGAATTTGTTTGAATTGAGATTTCCACATCTAAAAATCACCTTAATGAAGAATTATATCATCACAACATTTAATGTTTTAAAGAAATTTATAGATTTACAAGAAATCATTTCCTTATTTTAACTTGTTTCTTTTATAAAACAAAAATGTCTATTTGACAGCTGTAGGGAAAGAATTGACCATTAAACAAGTAAACAAGTTGTGGTCACAAGTTGCAAATTGAGTTGCTTCCGTGAATATCGAGAAGTTTCAGGAAGCGACTCCTGCCTCCGAGTCCGTTTTCAGCGTTCCTTTAAGAATCAGAACTGTTGAAATTACCACTGTGAATTTATGAACTAAAATGTCATTGATTGTTTCGGTTTCGTTCAGCACCGTGGCTCTGAAAAACCCGCCAACTACCACTCCAAGATCGACGCCGACATCGACTCCCTCACCAGTATGCTGGCCGATCTGGACAGCCACCCGCAGGACGCCGCCAACCAGGTACTGAAACAACCAGCACCGAATCTCTACAATAAGAGAGTTTTTCTTGTTGTGAGTGAAGCTAACTGTGACGTGTGCCTCCTCTCAGCTCTACGACAACGTGCCTTACAACAAATACATCTCAGGGGATACCTACAAGTCTGCGCACCAGAGCGCAGCCCCCGCTCCAGGTCGGCCGTTTGCGGGCTACAGCTCTCACCCCCAGAGCGCGTACCACCCGGGCCCTCCGTATCCCGGCGAGCACGCGGCCCCCCAGTACTCCCACCAGCAGGACTTCTACTCCACCTCCACCCCGAAGCCGTACCCGCAGCCCGTCCCGGCCTCCTACACCACCGCCTCCACCCCCACGGGGCCCAGGTTCAGCGTGCAGGTCAAGACGGCGCAGCCCGTCACCTACTCGCAGACGGGGCGGCAGGCGGAGCAGGCTTACACCCCGCCGCCTCCCCGGCAGCACGCGTCGCCGCGGCCCCCGACCCAGACGGGTCAGCAGGGCTGGTACCCGCCGCACCCGGCCTCGCAGGTCCAGGAGCTGCACTCTGAGGGGGGCTACAAGGGCAGCAGCAACCCGGGGTCCGGCGGAAGAGGCAACCAGGTTCCCCTGTCGAAGAGAGGGATAGAGAAGACCCAGACGGCGCAGACGCCTTCCTATCAGTCCAGCAAGGTAAATGCATCGACACGCTTTGGTCTCCGCCTGGGGAGTCGTCCAGTTCCTCACTGGATAACTCTAGAGATGACGCTCCAGATTTTTATTTACTGTAGGGTGATGCTGCCCAGGTTTGAAGAAGCCAAGTGATGTAGATTTTTAACCTGATCTGATTTAAGTTTGTCCATATGTGCCCAAAAAAGCTGTGAAATAGCTCTTTTCTTTGCTTATAAATCAAAAGTAATTAAAGTGTTGATCTGTTTATTGATTTGTGTAATTTTAGATAACTGTTTTGCACTAAAAAGTCCTTTAAAGTTGAAAGTTTTCCAGCAAAATCTATGAATTCTGTCCCGTTGAGATCTGTTCTGGGGATAATGATGCAAAGAAGGATTTTACTGAAAATCAAAAATATTATGGACAACCCTGACCATCCTCTTCATGAGACGGTCATTGAAAAACAGAGTTCCTTCAGTCAGAGGCTTCTTCATATTTGCTGCAACACAAACCGCTACAGGAGAGCTTTCCTGTCGTCTACAATAATGCTTTGAAGAATTTTAATCAATGACTTCTGACAACATTGAACTTTCCTTTGTTTTTGTTTTTTTATTGAATAGAATTTTGAGGTTGGAAAAGTGAAAGAAAAGCAAAGTAGGAACCTTTTGATGATTTGAGTTTTATTCTGTTTTCCTCTTTTCTCCAGCAGGGGGCAGCACCATCGAGGCCTGAGGAGGAGCTGGACCGGATCACCAAGAAGCTGGTTTACGATATGAACCACCCGCCTGCAGAGGACTATTTCGGTGCGACACATTTAGTTCTATAAAAGCAGAAAATGTCATTTTCTTTGTAGTGTTTTATTATTATTATTATTATTATTATTTTGACACTTTGGTTAAAGCTCCAAGTCGCTGGTTTTGCTCTCAGGTCGCTGCGCTCGCTGCGGGGACAACGTGGTGGGTGACGGCAGCGGCTGCATCGCCATGGAGCAGGTGTTCCACGTGGAGTGCTTCACGTGCATCACCTGCCACGCCCGGCTGCGGGGCCAGCCGTTCTACGCCCTGGACAAGAAGAGCTACTGCGAGAAATGTTACATCGTAAGTGAGGGGAGCCAGACGCGAGCCGACCAGGAGGTTTGTTATGTTTTAGCTGCTTCTAATCCTTCCGCCCGGCTTTTGTTTCAAGAGCACGTTGGAGCGCTGCTCTAAATGCTCAAAGCCCATCCTGGACCGGATCCTGCGGGCCATGGGGAAGGCTTACCACCCTCGCTGCTTCACCTGCGTGGTCTGCAGCTGCTGCCTGGACGGCGTGCCGTTCACCGTCGACGCCACGTCTCAGATACACTGCATAGACGACTTCCACAGGTACGCTCACGCCGCTCAGACCGTCGCCGCCTCGTTCTGCCAACGGGGAGGGGTTCTGACGTTACGACGTTTCGCGTCTCTCTGACAGGAAGTACGCCCCTCGCTGCTCTGTTTGCGGCGAGCCCATCATGCCCGAACCGGGCCAGGAGGAGACGGTCAGGATCGTAGCTCTGGACCGCAGCTTCCACGTTCACTGCTATGTTTGTGAGGTGAGCCACATAAATGTGTTTGTGCGAATCGTTCTTTGTTTCAGGAGGGAATTATAATGCGATAAATAAAACGGTTCTCAAAAACACCCATATTAAATTAAGAGAAGCAACCAAATGTATGCCAGAAATTTGAGTTTTATCTAAGCATTAACGGGGCGGATGAATTTGTGTAATTTCAGCCTGATGTGGATTAGAGAAAATCCATAATAAATCCTAATGTATGAATCAGTTTCTTGTGTTTAAAACCAACAAGAAGAGTTAGAATGTATCATTAAAAGGCCCAAAATTGATTGGACGTTTATGCCGACTACTGATTTAACTTAATGTTGACTTGAAGTGACTCGAATGCCTGTGTCCCTCAGGAATGCGGCCTCCTGCTGTCGTCCGAAGGTGAAGGCCGAGGCTGCTACCCGCTGGATGGACACATCCTGTGTAAGAGCTGCAGCGCCCGACGCATCCAGGACCTGTCGGCCAAAATCTCCACCGACTGCTAACGGAGCTCCTAACGTTTTCAGCCTCCTCTTTGACGCACCCAGACCCAGTCGGCGCGTTGAGAGCGGCACAAACGCGTCGCCGTGGCGTTCAGACATCGTTATTGTCCCCCCTCCCCTCCTCACCCGTCTCCTTTGTTGTTACCGACAGTCGGTATTGCAGTGAAATCACACCGTTTTTGTCGCTCTTGGTGCACCGTTGATCATGTTTAGCTCAGATTAGTACGACGGTGGCCTGACCTGCAGGCAGCTTGGGCTCCACTCTCCTTGTTTTGTTTTGTTTGTTTTTTTCCATTTCGGTACAAATTCTAACTCAGTTTTAGCATATTATCACCTCATGGGACTCGCACACATTATGATAATCAGAAAAAAACCCTACATTTTTGTAAAACAAAAAAAACCACAATCGAAGTACTGAAATGCCTCACAGTTTAAAAGCACAGAGTACAACGTAATACTGTGACTGTACATATCGCACTGGTTTGGTTTGTAGCCTTTAGAGCAGTGAATTTTTTTTTGCTGTGAAGTAATTAACCTCATAGTGCGAGAAATGTAGACGAGACGAATGTGCAGTTTAAAAGCAACCAGTTTTCACTCCTTAAGCTTCTGTAGAACCCTGAAACGCTCCGGGTCGGATTGTTTGCCCTCGCAGGATGGCATCATTTAGCTCCTAAAGTGATCTTGAATGTTTTAAGGAAAGACACTAAGGTTTTTTTTTTGTGTGTGTGTGTGTGTGTGTGTGTGCGTGTGTTTGACGTTGTTTTTGTTGATGCTTTTTGCCTGTTACGTTAGAAATGGAGGTGCAATGGCAAATGCTTCTGTCTTCCAAAGGAAGCAGGGCGAAGGTCACGTCTCTAAAGCCTCACGAGTTGAACGATGTGCCATTAAGAGCAAAAACCCGCTCGTCTAAAACTATTTCTACAGAAATGTTAAAATTATACCCAATTTATAGGGGTTGAAGTGTGTTTTTTTTTTTTTTTTCTTTTTTAGGATTGATATAAAAGTTAATCAAGAACTTATTTCTCCCTCAAAAAAGACTTTATTCCAGGACTAAATGCTGGTGAGATTGTGTTTATCCTTGCACTACTTGGCAGCAACAGTATTAATTGTGCTTTGCACCGCTCCGAGCCGGCCTTTACGAGGGAAAAAAAAAAAAAGAATCTGCTTTTTAAATGGTGTAGAAAACACGGCAGCTCCAGTCTGGGCGTGGGCCGGCATGAGACTCTCGGTAGGATAACCGAGGTTTCTTTGCAAAATGTAGAACACAAAATACACTCCAGAATGGCAAAACTTCATCCCATTTCTCCCAGAATTATATAGCATATGAATTATTACAGTTATAATACCTACTACTGTAATTATCTGTAATGGATTTAGTAGTAACTTTTAACTAAACTTGGTGGTTGTTCGGAATATTATCACCTTTTTGTCACTCTGCTGTTTAGAGTGACACTGGTAGCAGAAATAGTCAGGCTATCTGCACATGTAGCCTGCAGTCAGCTACATTTACGGTAATAAAAGTCTGTGCTGCCCAGGTTTACACAGCATCACTGATTGTTTATGTATATGTATATATATATAAATATAAATAATTGGAATTATTTCCTTGAAACCAAATTTGCCTTTCATGTAAGCAAAGGGAAGTATCTTCAACAACAGGAGGGGGAGGGGCAGCACCGATTTCCTCCCTCCGGTCCATCCAACCAGAGAAAACTCCAACTTCTCATTAATTTACCTATTTTCTTGTTTTGATGCCGTATCTTTGCAAAGAAAAGAAAAAATCGGCCCATGCCTGATATGGACTCTTGTTTTTTTTTTCTGAAGCTAATTATCTGAATTTTGTGAATGATAAATCGCTCCAAAATCAAATTTTGATTAATGCACATTGATGTTTTAGACTCTAGTGGAGAAACTCTGGAACGCTCCCACAGCTTTACAACTATTGCAGGTCACATAATGGATCTTCTGTACAATTTTGGGGATTCTGAGAAAAACACAGATTGTTAAAAAAAAAAAAAAAAAGACAGTAAATGTTTTTTGTACCTAGAAGCTAAAATGTTTAAAACTTAAGAAATGGAAAATGTGTAGCATCCCTGTTTTCCGTCCTTTTGTTTTTGTTTGTTTTTTTGTATGTCTTTAAACCTAAAGGGCTACAGATTTGAAAGCCTTACCTCAAGGATTTCATCTCAGCGTCGTAATGATCCTGCTTGGTTGACTGTGAATTTAGCAAAAACGGTTCAGATATTTCACCCGTTACTTGACCTCGTGAAGTGTTGCTACTGCAGTTTCGTCACTAAGATAAAACGTTTCATCGTTGCTCAGACGACTTTTTAAGGTCCTGAATCATTTGTGTGCTTTTTTAAGATGTTGTCAACCCATCCTGCAAGTGTCAGATTTACTCTTGGGGACGTTTTTTGGTGGGGCTGAATAAACATGTTGAATAATAAAAAGCAAGTATTTTATTGAACGTGCAGAAAAAAGGGTGGATATTTAACTTGATGCATGTTATTTGTGCATGAGTTGCTTTGTATTGAGACACGTCTATGCATTTATGTTCCTTTCCTGGCTCAGAGTAACAATAATATGTTACCTGATGTAGTAAATGAAGGATCAAAAGTTATCTTTAATTTCAGAAGAGTTTAAATATCTTGAATCATACATTTCAGGTGACAAAAGTAAACTCGTAACATTGCAGTGACTTGTTTTAAAAACGTAGTTATTCCAGGTTTTGAGGTCCTAATGTGTCTCGTGCTAACATGAGGTGAAAGTCTTCCAGAAGAAGTTTCGGCAGCCTGCTTTGCGCTCTCGGTGGGTGAAGCGGATGTGTCGTCTCATCAGCTTCTGCCGGCCTCCGAGCTCCTCCTCCTCCTCCTCTTGCTTCTCGCGGAGCATCTCTTCTCTGGACGCCATCAGTTCAGACATGAACCTCAGCAAGAGCAAGCCGGTTAGATCCTGAAGGAGAACAGAACCAGTTTCCTGGAAACAGAAACAGAACAGAACCAGGAAACTAGAGTTTATGGCACTATTAGTTCCCCCTTCTTGTCTGATTTTGGGTTGTTTTTGTACACTTAAATGTACTTTCCATAGCACAACTCTGTGAGAATAAATTAAATAACCATAATACGTAAATGATTTACTGAAAATGGTAGCATTGGGCTGTAATTAAGCCCTGATTGAAGTCAGTGACATTAATTTAAATGTATAATGCGTCATAGGTTCTTTAGAATTAAAAAAAAGTCTGCTTCCTAAACTCTGGCATAGAAATACAACATATTAATATTTTCCACTGAAAATGTCTTTTAAAACTACTTGAGCCTGAAAGATTCAATTAAAAACTCTCGCACTGTCCAACATTGTCGCGATACCCGGTCCTGTTCGAATGGGGGAAAGTGGCGCCATCTGGTGGACAAACTTGGAAGTGGACAGCCGTTCGTCCAAAAAGGCTTTTTTTTCTTTGCTAGAGTATTTGTGTCACTTGGAATAAAAAGGTGGAGGAACTGTTTGTTTGTTTGTTGTGTTGGTATTTTTGTTATAGCTTTCTCGTTTTAAGATTAAGGGTGAAATACGTATAGCAAAAAGAAAGTCTAAAAGACGAGGAAAAGTGGAAATGGCCGCAATAGTAACGTCAAAATAACATGTTGACCTGCGACAGACATGCCTTGTGTAAACAATGTAGAACATCTGTACTTTACAGAATAACATTTAATGACAAAGATGCTCTTTTTCTTAGCGCATAAACATCCTGAGCCAAACTAAATGTTTCAGTATTCCTACCTTATTCCACTTTATTTTCAATATTTTAGCTTTAAGCACAAAGCAGAATCTAATTTTTTCTTTCTGACTTTATTTTGTAACGGAAAAGAAAACGTAATCCACCAACCCACCCCAAAAACACAAATTTAGTATGCCTCATAAGTGACTGAATAAAAAATGTAGGACAGAAATTTATTTATTCTATAGATTCAGGGAAACAAGCAGCAGTTGAGGAAAAATAAAGTATCCAGATGCAAAGCAAGGTAAAAGTATAAAAGTTTTTTTTAAAAACGAGACTGAATAGTAATGGGAAATTTACAACATAGGAAAACGCTCGGATTTAAAGAAACATGCAGCTGATTGGGAGAATTTCACAAATTAACAATAATTCATGTCTCTAAATGTTCCAACTTTTATGTTGTTTAGACACTTGAGGCTAATTTTAAAAATAAAATTAAAAAAAATCTGTCAAATCAAAGCTATTTTTATCCAACACAGTCAAAACAATTTCCAAATAGAATTTTAATAAAAGACGACTAAATGTCCGTAGCACCTTCTAAGTGTCGATCTAATCAGAACAGATCTATTGGTTATCGAACTCACCTTATCGCTGATCAGTTCTGCTTGCAGGGTTTCCGTGAGTTCGTCCATTTGTGGAGCAGAGCTGACGTGGAGCGCCAGCATGGAGGAGCACAAAGCCACAAAGAGCACCTTCATCTGAGAGCAAAGCATCTTCACAAACCCTCAAATCTGGCAAACTCCAACAAGTCAAGCGGTGTAATGGCCGATGGTTGCTGTGCAGATCTGATAAGTAAGAGTCCTTCATCTTCAAATCTCCCTCATCCTCAAGCCAACGGAGGGATGTGATTGGTGGAGGAGATGACCGGTCGTCATCTCCGACTGTGACAAAAACCCCCAAAAAGAAACAAAAACATCTCAAAACACTCACAAACATTGACTGCGCGATTTAAACACACACTCAAAACATCTTTACATTTCGACTAAACTTTAACGTGATTATATTAATTATGTTTGTCATAATTAGCAGCCGCGGGAGCCTTGCATGCAGGGGCCCCATCAGCTGCCCGCTGCGCGGTGCTGTTCTTGACCCGATGTGACGCAAATGTTACCGAGTGGAGATGGCTGACTCGCCCACCGATCATGTTTTCACTTTGAGTCATAGGAAGATGAAATTTAAGGGATTCAACGCCTAAATGTACCGCTGCAAGCGCACAACTTGTATTTAGAAATTAAATAAGAAGTTTGTGGGAAGTGGAGAAACTCAAGGCAGATGCATAAGAGCCCTCTGGGTTTTTTTTTTTTTTAGCTTTGGCAGATAATTTAAAGATGGGAATGTTTTTACCTGGTGCAACTATCCTGAAGGATCTACAGGGAAAAAATGTTTTATAACAAAGGTAAAGAAGATGTTTCGTGATATTACACCACATGGATTTGCGAGTGCTTTTAGTTTTATTCTGGTCCATTTTGGGAATAGGTGTCACACTTAAAGGTTCCGGAACACCAAGTAACTAAAGATAACCTGAGTAAATATATATATAAAAAGACAATTTCATTAATTATAACTGAATTTCTGATGAACTAACCAAAGAAAAGAGTCATCATCTAAATATGAATAGAGGGAAAAACATTTTGGTCTTTTTCAGGTATTCTGACTTTTATCCTTTAAATAAGGGGGGGGGAGAAAAAATCCAGTCTGGGATTTTTCTGTTCTCTGTTTGAAAACATTAAAATGAAATTCAGTGTTCTTCAAGAGTGTGTAGGAACTTTACTTTCAGAAGCGGACTCACTTGGATATTTGTCAAATTTCTACTCTGTGGTTATGCTTCTTTAATAAAAGATTATTTTTGATTAACTCTTTAGTGACAGCAAATGTGGTGGGTGCCGAACAAGATGAAAATTGCAAATGGTTTAAAAAAGGTTGCACGTTTTTCTAAGAAGGCAAGAAGTCTTAAATCAGGAATAAATGAACTACTGATTTTATTTATTTATTTATTTATTTTTAGAGAAATCTAATGTGAATATTTCTCCTCAACAGCAGTCTTTTGAAACACCCTTTAATTAGATGATGACCTTTTCAGCAGGTTTTCCTCCTTCCTCTCAACAGGACTCACTGATTAACCTGATTACTCAGTTTTTAAGCGAAACAAGTCTTGACTTAAGGTAGCATTTTCCAGGCAGGCATCCAGCTGAGCAGCTCTGGACGAAGGAGGAGTAAAGATCAGGTCACAAAGTCTATCCTGCCAAGGTGTTTGTGAAAACTAGTGAAGGTTTATTTAAGTTAATAAAAGAATGTGATTAATGACTGAATTAGCATCATTCATGTTGGTGATGAGTCACAATCCTGAACAAGTTGAACTTTATGAAGGAATTCCTTCCTGTGCTTAGTCCAGTCCTGTTTGATCGTGATTATGTGATCGCACATTTCCTTTTTTCTTTCCTCATTCCTTTCTTCCTTCCTTCCTGACTCTTTACTCCTAAACGCAGATGTAGTTCCGCTCAGACCGCTAGGTGTCGCTGTATCCCCGTGTTTTCACCTCTAAAGTAATTTTTCTCAACAAACACCTCTCAACAGTTTATCTGGAGCTTTATAAAACATTGTTTTATATATATTTATATATGTTATATCTATATATATATGTATCTATATCAGGTATATAGGAAGATTTGGAAAATGGCGGCAGCTGAACACTGACAGCTTTAACCGGACTTGTTCCGAATAACAGAGCCATGAAGATGACTTTTATTTATATTCTGTGTGGGTAGGTATCAGAATAAAAGAGTTGAAGTCGTTCAACTACAGGTTCTGATGTTTCTGAACGTGTTTATTTCAGTCTGTCTGTGCCGCTGGCCTTATCTCTAGGTATTAGCTTCAGAAGCACCGTTTAATTAACACTAGTAGGTGGCTTCTTTAAATTGAATACATGAAACCCATAAATAGATTGATTTTTTAAAGAAACAGACAAATAAATTAGATTATGTGCACAAATGACTAGAAACAAATTTCATCTTTATATCCCTCATTCTGCAGGTCATTGTCAAAATATCTAAAGATAAATTTAAATATATTTCATGCATAAATTAATCTGTTTCCCCACTCTACTTTCTATTTCCTCTCATTTAACTCCTCAGTCTTCATAGAAGTGCAATTCCAGCATTTGATTTTTCTGCAAATGTGGCAATTTTTCGTTTATTTTTAAGTCAAAATAAATAAATTTCCAATCAATTACAGTACGCAAAACGGGGAACTCTACAAAAATATCTTGAAAAGCAAATGTCATTTGTTCAAAGAATATTTATTAATATATATGATATTTTAATATCCAACAAAATATGTTATGTGTGGTGGAGATGGCTGGGTTAAAGGTGGAGGCCCAGGTCGCCTACCCAACCGTGAAGATTCCCTTCAGCAGCGCAGGGATGATCTATGAGGTGCAGGTTCTACACCAGTCTGTATTTTCTTAATATATGTATATTTCACTTTAGGCTTTCCTAGGTTCACTTTTAATACCTCTTTAATATCTGTTGCGTTAACATCTCCATTTGTTTTTATGATGTAGAAGCTGTCATTGCGGGGCCTCATTGGGGGGGTGAACGTGTTTGTAGTGGATGCAGGAAGGCGACCGTCTCGTCCACAAATGCACATTTCCTGCCTGAGAACTTCTGGGTACAACATGGAGGATCAGAAAAAAACGTTTCTCTTGTTTTGTTAGTTATTTCAGGATTTTTAACTCTCACGTCTCTGGCAGAGTGTCAGCCTGAAGGACGGATGGTAGCGATAGTGGACACCACCCTCACTGTCCAGCCCCAACAGAACCACTCTGCTGGACCCAGGCTGCGGTCCGACAGAGACAGACAGCGCCAGAGCTCTCTTCGTATTCAGCTTTGAGTCCTGTGGAACGACTGTCACTGTGAGATTAACGTTCAATATATTGATTTATCTTTTGGCTCTCTGATCTGATCTCCTCATATCTCAGAAGGTCGTGGGAAATGTTTTGGTTCATGAAAACCAGATCAGCCACTTTCAGGACTTTCAGCCGTGGGACGATCCTGTCGTTACACAGAGATGCTCCGTACAGGTGAGATCGTTTGACTCAAAGGAATCTGTTAAACTGGTGCTGGTCAAACTTTACCACAAGAAAGATGACACCATTCTGTCCTCCCACCTTTATTCAGCATCGTTCACTTGAACCTTCAGAACCATCGTTCTGAACCTTTCAGCCATTGGAGTCCAATGAAGACTTAGTGAAGCTGTTAAAAGTAAGTGTTCATGTGAAACTAATGAAAATAAAGTGTTATTTTACTTTTACTCCTCTCCTAAATATGCATATTTATCTAAGTTTCCATGTTCAACAAACAGTGAATTTGGAAGAAAATGAATTCGGATTAGAAAAGGAACTCAGAGTTGTCAAAAGCATGAACAAAATGGTGCAAAAATACAAAAGAGTAACTTTGGGTAACTGATGTTTAATTATTAAATTACTAAAAGAAGCAAACAAAATGAGAGGCAGCAGACTGAAGCCAGATGTTTATTAGGAAGTAGAAACTGATTTCTGAACATAAGTTGATTTACAGCTGTGGCATTTCTGAAGCATGTTATTAAAGTACTTGTTCCAGAGGGTTTGTATACTTTTAGCAAGTCGTATCAATAAGCAACAAACAAATACTTGTTAGAAAACTTTGATTTTTTTTTTTAAATTAACCAATACTTTTCACGTACCCAACAGCATTCCTAGTAAACATTACATCCAAAAGAAAATGTTAGAGTATAGTTAATTCAAAGTACAGGTTACCATCAGTTACTACTGTTCCTTCTGTGAGTTTCAGAAATGCATTCAACTAAAAATAAAAATAAAACAAAAGGTTGTCATATAAATGCAGTTTTGATGTTGATCAGGTATTTTGATGAGACGCAATGCATAAAATTAGAGATTTTTGCTCGTTACATAAATTGTATTAGACTACAGCAAATAAATCTATATTGAGCATTGAACTAAATGATGTAAAATGTAAGTTAATACCAGAAAAATAGTAAATTTATGAAACAAAACTTCCACCCTTCAGTTCTGAATATAAAACGAGTAAGAGGCGGTTTAAAAAGAAAATCTAAATTCTTATTGTGTTGCGTTTTTGCAACACAGTTTGCTACTTAACATGAAAAAAACATACATAGCTAGTATTAATTTTTTCTTTATTTTTAAATTTACTGTCTGAGTTGGTGTAGCTATAAAGAACTAAATCAGACAGATTCTTCCTTTGCAGAGTTGTAGGGGAGTTTTTTCACTGACACATTTCATCCAGACTTTTTATGGCTTCCTCTTTTCTGATTTCTTTCCAGTTTTCAGGAATCTTACCTAAACCCTCAAATTTTAACCCATAGTATTTTTCCAGATTACTTCTAAATCTGCACACAACCCATTTCCAGTACGGCAGTTTCGACTCATCGGGGGTGATTCTCCACGACTTAAACTCTGGACCAGCCTTTCTGTACTCCTTATAGGGAAAGGCTCTCTTTGATTCTCGGTTGGGAAGGAAAGTGCGATCGCTTGAAACATCTGATGTGCAGAAGTTTATGTACATGACTCTGGTGTTTGCATGATACATGCCACTGAGCGAACAGGATCGATGGAAAGGCACGCTGTGGTCGTCAGGGCTGTGGTCTTCGAGCGTGTTGGTGCACACAGCAGAGCAGAACGGACACTTGACCCAGCAACATCTGCACAGCTGATCAATGAGGATTTGTTCAGGCGTTTCCCTTGATTTTTTCATTTCATGCACCGAGAAGCTACTAATTTGCTCTTTCACTGATTTGAGTTTTTCATCTGTTTCTTTGCTGAGAAAGTCAAAA